CGTTCTCTGTCCTGGTTCGGGTGACTTCTGTGTTCACGCGGTAAGTTCGTGGATCTGAGGACATGGCTATGAGTTTTGCTTTGTCTGCTCACTGACTGTTTTTAAACTGGTTTATTAACTTAAAGCTTTAGGGATATTTAAATGTGTCATAGTGAAATCCATCAATTGTTGTAAGTAGCCTAAGTCAGTTATAAATTTACAATCAACCCAGGATGTGTCTTTTAAAACATTAATTCATTTTATTGCTAATCTTTTCAATATTTCAATTAAATTGCCAGAGGATTTACTCAAAATGTTTGTTAAGTTTTCGACTAAATGTCTACTGGGGGTTGGTCGAATGTTATTTACAAAGAGCATACCCAAATATAAAGCAAAGAATTACTCCCAGCCATGATTAGTTCATTCCATAAGGCCACACTTGCATAACTTGGATGGGCTAATTTTCAGTTTTTAAAATGCACGCTTGGTGAATTACACTGTATGTTTAAGTTAACCTAATGCCTTTGCACTACGTGGAGATCTTTGTCAGTAAAAGATGACTTCATACTTGAAGAGTAAACACCCCAATCATCGAGTGCGGAAGTGAAAATTTGTTTATTTTTTATTTTTGGTGGATCTTCAATTTACTTTCATTTTGCAAATGCAGCTCTCATAAACATGCTACAAGAGACGATCAGAATACAAGTGCTTCCAATTAAGGACACTCGAAAATAAGCATTTCCAGTAATAGACCTGTCAGGTAGCATGCCAATAAGTTACAAGTAACTACTAAATTATCTTTCTCATTTTAATGGAGCAGGTACAGCCAGGGAATAAATGAAAGAGAGTTTGCGTGGTACATAAGATATCATAGGCATTAAGTACATTCAGTGTTGAGCAAAAATAACAGAAAAACAAAAAAACTGACAACGAAAGTGATTGTGACTTTCTTTATTGCATGACTAAGTTGTTAAATCCATCTCTCAGCAATTTATGTGGCGTTTCTATTAGATGGAAATAAAGTCAGTGTTTCATTTCTCGTGAGACTACTTCTGGTAATGAGAAGTTCTATAAATTGCGATATTAAATAAAGAATTTTCTTAACACACATGGCTTTTTATTAACATAGTCCACTTTTTTTTAATTTTCGAGTGGATCAGCATTATACTACTGTTACTTTGGAAACGTATATCACATAAAGTGGGTACGTTGTAGTATTAGCTTTTGGGAAATCAGAACTGTTTTATAACTTTTTCGTAAATAAAACCGATTTGATGTACTTGCCTTTTAAAGATACCGATCTAACTGATCAAAGTCTTTTTTGATAAAACTAATTTGTCTTACTCAAAAACGCACGGACAAATAAGAGGGAAAGATGGCAAAAGTAATCCATTATTTAATTTCAACATAATTTAACTGGTAAGAATATCTCAACATTACTTTCGACTTGAGCCATTTGTAAAATACGATTAATCACAAGTTTCTTTGTTTAACACTTCTCGTGGCAGCCGCAATCCTACTAAAAGCATATTAACAAAGTTTTAACTTTGAATTTAAACAAGGTTTGGAACTTGCACATTCCTAATCATAAACACAATTGGTGTTCTAAAGTGCATAAACACTGGGACAATAGCATCTTTCAATCGATTTACGCAAAACGGATTATGAAACATTTACAAAGTCATTACGATAACTAGGTAGAGGTTGCTCATCGCCTTTAAATGCCATTCATTTCCAGTCACTTGTTTTGACCACAGTTCGATAAACCAAGAAAAAGTTTTAAGATTACCGTAAAAACAGAACGCATGGATGACACCAACGTAAGCTACATTGATAATTTGCCTTTTTACGCATTTCTTACCTTCTGCGATGTTGCATTCCAAATTCAAAACCTCTTCATGTTTACACAATTCTGCATCCCACTTAGTCATGAACATGTTTAAATATATTATGTGGCAACTAAAGTCCTGTGTAGTATTTACAGCTTGGTTGGTACTTAATAAATAGCTAGAGTAAAACTACCTGCAGAAGTCTCGGTGCTTGTGCCACTCTTGTAAGGTATCATGAGTCACTTTCCCAACGGCATTACTCGATGAACGAGCTCATTCGCTGGAAAGTCGCCGGCACTACATGCAATTTGCCTGTCCCTGTTTATTAACTAATTTTTACTACTCATTTAGAATATATCAACCTATTAATCAAATGACTTTGAAAAACCCACCACTTGATAGGCAACAAATTTCTTAATGATAATTTTTAATCGAACTAAGGTTTCTGATAACATACACCGGAGGTGTGATTCCATAAAAGTTCCATTCGTCGACAATGAAAGGCGTTAAGTTGGAAGGATCGTCCATCTTAAATGTCTTATGTGAATCAATTTTCGATATTATCAAACGGCTTTGGATTTAACCGAACTGGACAGCGTATCTTAATTTCAGAAAATAGCTCATTTAGTAAGGGAATTAAATAATATTCTCATTGTTAACCTGCCTCTGCAGAAAGCAATTAATTTCGGAGTCTTGGGCATAAAAATTGAGGGTGGGGATGCATGTTTATTTGGAGCTAGTTTTTTAAGTGTATTCGCTTTGAACACTCGAGGAAAAACACTGTAACTCGCTGGCCTTTCGCGTCACTAGAAGAAGCGATTTTTGCAAAATTAAAAAACGGCACAAATTGAGGTATGTCACCAGCACTTTGACGCATACAGCCGCAGTTCTGCTTTCGTAACACAATTCTTCGGGGGTTTCAGGGGCCTGAAAATCATTATAAGGTGTTTTCCCCGATGTATACGTCGTTCAAATGTTAATTACCACAAGATATGAATATGAATTTATCAAGGCGATTTTTTAGAAAAATGAATCAATAGGTGCAATCATTATCATAAATAATTATTTTTTTGATTTTTATTTAGATTAACCCTTAGTCTTATTCATAATCATCGAATCAAATAATTTTTTTCGGATGATACTCCCTGTTCCATGTAATTTCATCATTACCTTTAGACACAGTACGCGCACTCAGATCCAAAGTTCACCGTGATGGACAATAAGCCATTGAGTGATAACTGCAAGTTAGTTTTCGGCACCAGTTAGTCGAGTCTATCATGCACACCACACCACTTAATGGAAGATTTGCTTTTTCCACAAGAAATCAGCGAACACAGACGTGGAAGTAGTTGATGATGTCAACATACTAGTAAGTTGCTTTACGAACTAGAATTTCAGTACGCTACAATTACACACTTTTGCAACTAAAACGCCAACGTAAATTGATGTCCCAGTTAGTTTTCGACTCAAGGAACTTTAGCCCGGGAGCTCTCTTCGAAGTGCCACTTATTTCTAGTATTTCCGCATTCTGCATTGGATGTCAAAAAAAGTTTCGGAACAGTATTTTAACTAACCACTTTATTAATGCTAGCGTCAGAGTTGTGGCAAGTCAGAGGGTGTCTAGACTGCATTTGTCAAAGACTCGCCCAAGCGGCCTAGACAATGCATTTTTGGAGCGTAGCAATAAATATAAAATCTACATCAAAAAAGTTCATATATAGTCTCTACATTACTAATACATAACTAATTTTTGTGCAAGAAACTCACGCATATAACCCTAGTAAAGAGAACTAGTCTGTTTAGGTGTTTTGATCTGCAATTTAGTTGTTCCTGAAAGTGTAAGATTTTATTTTGCCCTTATTGTTTCACACAAGCAATATCGTTGTATCTAAGATATATTTAAAGCCGAAAATGGATGATCAAGCGGTAAAATTCCAAGTAATTTTGGAAGGAAGCATTAAAGACTTCGCTGCAGCATTCGATGTATTTTGATTCTTGTAAGATTCAGTGGTAAAACTTTTGTCAAGACTTCAGCGCAGTCGGTTAAGCATCCGGGCAGCAAAAACATCACCTACATTTGAAACCTTTTGGGCTGGGAAGTGTCTTCTTGACACCACAGCATTCTTAAAGCACTAAATATACAAAAAGCTGTTTGCTATATTTCTAATATAAATTTTAATTAGATGAAAAAATTAATTGAACGAGAAAGTATTGTTTGAATAAAAGCAGTGGAGTTCGCCTTAGAAAGAGTAGAAACCGAGATACTGGGAAGCAAATGTCCCCAGTTCGCTATCTGCTTGGCTACATTCGGCATTTAGGAATCGACACCGAATTCAATATCTTTACTCGAATCCGACACATTTATTTCGAAAATTCCGAAACGTCGACAAGTTCCTCGGAAGAAAGGGTTTAGACAGTTGTCTTGACGTGGTACCGTAAATTCAATCCCCTGATACGTGACTAACTGAAGGGCAGAACAGCAAACCACAAGCAAAATTTGCGCATGACACCGCATTTCTCTGTATTCCACATAGCTTCCTCGGCCTGCAGTTCTACATCGACAAACCAAAGCTGCGTTCGGCTCAAGACCGGGAAACCATACACTTGTAAAGAGGTACTTATTCTAGAAGTTTTAGCTTTTACACTCAGATTACCGATTAGGATGGTGCGCTGGCGGAGAAATAATACTAAAAAGCCTCAGAAATCGGAAAGACGTGAAGCAAAGTGCGCAATGGGATACCTTTCTACAACGAAATGCTAATCTATTTTTGTAAAGGTAAGCAGAGGATACACAAAAGCACCACACAATCTCCTAAATCCGTTTACGCACGAATAACCGGGATATCAATGAGTGATCCTACACAGAAGGACATTAAGTAGTACCTTTTTCACTGCGAAACTGCTTCCCTCTAGAAAGATTAATACTTTAATCCCATTAAAAAGGCAGCGGTTATAATTAAAGGCACAGATTGTCTTATAAAGCCGTAGTGAAAAGCGGGGACGGGATGTGGAATGGAAAATCACTGAGGGGTTACGTTGGGCAAAAAGCAATATTATCAATAATACCATGTGACTAGAAAGAGTTGAATTTGAACCTACGGTCAAAATAACACAGTGCAAACACAGGGAACGGAATGGAAGCTAGATTAATGGAATAGTTCGTGAATCAGAATACAGTTGATCGTGAGGTTTTCAGTTTAGCACTGCAGCCTGTTGATTTTGGGGCTGTTGGCGTGACGAAAGGTCCTCGTCTTCGGCAATCTTCTGTAAATCATTGACAGGGTTCCCCCTGCCCAATTCGTACTGGTAGTGCGACACAATGCCATAGAGCAGACGCAGAACTGCCTTTTCGTCGCCCAGCATGATGTCCTCGGGGCGCTCGGAGGGCTCCGGAAGGTCTGCCGCCCGCATCAACTCAAAGGCCAGCCTTAAGTTAGCCAGGCGCATTGCGTCCGTCGTGGGATTCGCATGATAGAAGTGAAGTGGTACAAAGTAGCCCTCAAGAAGACCCATCAAGAGGATGAGCCGCACACCATCTGAGAACTAACAGGGCGGAAAAATTAGCTTTAAGCTTAGTCGGTGGGCTCACGTAAGGAAAATACATACGAAAACTATTGCCACATTATAACTAGGCTTTAAGCGGGCGACTGATGTTCAACGGGTGCCCAAAATTGTCAAAGCAGCCTGCATGGAGTTACACACAAAAACGACTTGCTTGCAGTCACAACACGCACACACGCTTATGCAGCCTGTGTTGACCGAGAACCCATTCGATTTTAATATCGCAGCGCACAAGAAATCAGCTTCAGGTAACGCTCACCATGAAGATAAGAGGGTCAAGTGTTACAAATTTCAAAGGGATCAGACATGAACGTATGCCAAACAAAATCTACGGTCACGTTGCATTTTGGAGAATGGCAGTCCTGACACTAAGGCCACAAATCTTACGTCATCCAAAACACTCCTAGCGGCCAGGGCAGCACTGCAGTCGGTAGAAATGCTAACGTAGATATCTCTAGCCCTGACTAGGAAGTAGAGTTGAAAATGCGTTCGATTCGAATAGTAAACTTACATCCTCTGACAGATCGCTGACACGAAGATTTAGTTTCTGAAGGTGCTCGTTAGCAAAGCAAATGATTAATCTGGGAATCAGACGACGGTTAGGTAAGTAGTCTAGTGGATGAGAAGAGGCTTGGCTGTCTAAACAAATAAAAACAAATGGAACCACAAAGCCTCAGCTAAATTAGTCAAGTATTTTACTGACAACATTTACCGGAAAGAGACTGTGAAGGTTCTGTTAGATACTTGCGTTCATATCTGTATTCGAGAATTCCGTTGATTTTTCTCACAACAATAACAGTTAGGAATACCCCATCAGCAAGACGGATACCGGCTTTGAAGTGCTTGGCCAGAGCAACAAGGAGTCTTATAATTGCAATTATGTCCTTGTTATGAACAGTTTCTGCCGACCAATGTTCTTTGGCCCAGGCCTCGGGGACGCCAAGAAGTTGATTAATGGTTGCGATGACCTCCTTTAAGCGTTGCATCTGGCCGAACTCGGATTGAGTCACCTCGGGATGCTCTAACTTGATTCCCGCAAGCTTCTCTGCCAGATTCTGCAATATTTGCCCATCATAAAGATCGTCAGCAATGTTCCGTACGAGGATTCGATGGTTAATCAATTCATCATTAATCCAAGAAATGAGGGCTGCAACGAGCTCTTTGACCTCGGCAGACTCCATCGACGCCCGCTCGATTATCGAACGTTCCTGACCCTCTTCAAGCATATAATTTTCTGGGTCTTCGATAGCTAGCGAGCATAACGCTGACTCCATGGCCTTTCGACCCTCCTCAGTTAGGTCATCGACCTCTTTTTTAGATTTCTTTTTATTCTTCGTACGCAGAGTCTCCAGTTTGCTGAGAAATGACTCATTCCCCGCAGACACACCCTGGGAACTCATATTTGCTGCATAAGGAATAGAAAAAATTGAGGCGATGATTCAAACAAAATCAGCAAGAAGAAAATTCATACGGTAACACCATTGTGAATAAAAAAAATTGATCGGAGGATTGCCAAAAACAAACAGACCTGTTATGAGAATGATCGTAAGAAATCGAACAAATACATCCTACGGTCTATTTATCAAGAAAAAAACTCACGAATCACACAAAACAAAATGGAAATCTTGAGACTACCGACAGAAAAATGCACAAAATGAAATTTTCAATGGTGTTTTTCGGATGTCGCGTGCTGGGACAACGAACTACACAAGCATTCTTAGAAGAAGAAGGAAGAGTACATATCAACACATTACATTCACTCATCTAGCTTGCTTGAGACTCAAACATTTAGTTGACCACAAAATATTCCCAGGTTTCCTGGGTTATTTAATATCCTATTGCCAAATAAGAACGAGTCAGTCTGCCCAATGAATATTTCGCGGTCTCAGAATTAAAGTGTTTTTTAATTATCTTGAAACAACGGATATCAAAAGCAACGGGAAAACAGATATAATTATGGGGCATACATCGGGATACGCAGACTCAAAATATTGTGGTGTGGTGTGATGTGGTGTGGCGTCGGATTAGGGCGCAGACATATTGGACCACCTGGCCTCAGCCAATCCTGTGTCTCTCTGCAAT